TACCAATTCAAGTATTACTTCTTCTGAAATATTTTTCAACTCTATGACAGAAGGACTTCTTCATTGTATCTGTAACATAAATTCTAACGTTTTTCTTTAGGAGATTCTAAAATTTGCTAGAATGACCAATACATTTGAAAATAAATGTTTATACCTTCCTTTCTTTACAAAATAGATAACACTTAATATGTAAAAAACATTCCTTTACAAAGTAATAGTCATGGTTTTTAAGAGTTCTGAAGGACTTCCAATAACAAAAAGCAGTTTTTCACCTAATTCTCACTACTCTCAGTGTCATTAACCTGAGACTATTTTTAAAATAAATTTTTATAAAGTTAATATATTATTTGTAATCAGAGAAATGCACAGTTCTGAAGTGTACAGTTTGAGTTTTAACAAATGTATACACCTGTTTGTAACCCACAAGCCCATAACAGACAATTTCAATCTTAGAAAATTCCCGTGATCTCAGGAAATTCCCTTGTGCCCTTTTTAGCAACTCTACCCCCCTCAAACTTCTCTTCGGATTTTTATTGCCCTAGTTGTATTTTACGTGTTCTTCTTTATATCACAGTTTTTTGAGCTATAATTCATATACCATGCAGTTCACTCATTTACACTGTAAAACATTCAGTGGTGTTTCATTTATTCAGAATTGTGCAAGCATCACCACAAGAAACTGATTATTTGTTAGCAGTCACAGCCCATCCCTCTTCACTCCACTTCCTCCCATTCCAGTCCTCAGTGACAACTAATCTATGTTCTGAATTCTAGTTATAGAATATATAGAATCATACAATACCTTTTATTTTCTGACTGGCTTCTTTAACTTAATGTTTTCAAGTTTCATCCATGTGGTAGCATATATAAATACTTCATCCCTTTTCATAACTGAAAAATATTCCATTTTATGGATATTGTACCAGTGTTTTTTAATCCATTCAACACTTGATGGATATTTGGATTGTTCCCACTTTTTGGTTGTTAGAAATAATGCTGCCTTGAATAGTCATTGTATAAGTTTTGTGTGGACATAGATTTTCCTTTCTCTTGGATATATATCTAGGAGTGAAATTGCTGGTTCATATGGACAGTCTAGGTTTGACCATTTGAGGAGTTGCCAGATGTTTTCTGAAGTGGTTTTACCATTTTATGTTACCATCAGTAGTGTCTTAGGGGTCCTGTGTCTCCATATCTTCACCAATGCTTGTTGTTTGTGTTTTTGAATATAGGCATTCTAGTGGTTATGAAGTAGTATCTCATTATGGCTTTGATTTGCATTTCCCTAATGATTAGTGATGTTGAACATCTTTTCATCTGCTTATTGGCCATTTTATATCCTTGGAGAAATGCCTGTTCTGATTCTTTGCCACTTTTAATTGGGTTGTTTGTCTTTAATATTAAGTTGTAAGTTCTTTATATACTCTAGATACAAATCTTATGAATTGCAAATATTTTTTCCCATCCTATGGGTTTTCTTTTTACTTCTTGATAGCATCCAGTGAGGTACAAGATATTTTTAAATTTTGATGAGTACAATTTATATATTTGTATGTATCAGCAGTGAATATACCAGAATTTGATGATTTGTTTTTCTGGATATTTGGGTTGTTCCTGGGTGTTGGCTATTATGAATAAAGCATCTATGAACTTTTGACTGCAAGTCTTTTTGTGGACATGTTTTCATTTCTCTTACTGCATCATAGGAAAATGTATTTAAGTCTGTAAAGAATTGTCAAACAGTTCTTTAAAGTGGTTGCACTATTATACATTTCTGACATCAGCATATGAGAATTACAATTGTTCCCATCTCAGGCAGCAATCTTGAGAATTGCAGCCCTTCTAATGTGTACGTAGTGTGGTTTTAACTTACATTTCCCTGATGACTACAGATGTTGAATGTTTTTCAGTTGCTTATTGGCCACTTGATTATCTTGTTTCGTAAAGTGTCAGTTTAAATCTCTTACTCATTTAAAAAATGTGATGTTTGTCTTCTTAATTGTTGATTTTAAGAGTTCTTCATATATTCTGGATACTAATCTTTTGTCAGATATATATGTTGGAAATATTTTTTCTCAGTCTGTGGCTTACCTCTTCAGTTTTTTCATATCTTTTGAAGAGCAGAGCTTTTAAGTTTGATGAAGTCTAGTTGTTTTTGTGTGTGTGTGTGTGGTTTAGTGTTTTTGTTTTTTTATTTGGGTATTATTACTCTACAGTTACATGAGGAACATTATGTTTACTAGACTCCCCCCATCACCAAGTTCTCCCCACATTCCCCATTGCAGTCATTGTCCATCAGCGTAGTAACATGTAGAATCACTACTTGTCTTCTCTGTGTTGTACAGCCCTCCCCGTGCCTCCCCACACACACATTATACATGCTAATCATAATGCCCGCTTTCTTTCCCGCCTCCCTTATCCCATCCTTCCCACCCATCCTCCCCAATCCTTTTCCCTTTGGTAATTGTTGGTCCATTCTTGGGTTCTGTGAGTCTGCTGCTGTTTTGCTCCTTCAGTTTTTTCTGTTCTTATACTCCACAGATGAGTAAAATCATTTGGTACTTGTCTTTCTCTGCCTAGCTTATTTCACTGAGCATAATACCCTCTAGCTCCATCCATGTTGTTGCAAATGGTAGGATTTGTTTTCTTCTTATGGCTGAATAGTATTCCGTTGTGTGTATATACCACATCTTCTTTATCCATTCATCTACTGATTAGTTTGTTTTTTAATAAATTTTTTTATAGTGTTTCCTTGTGTCCATTAACAGATTTTGCCTATTCAAGGTTGTTAAGACTTTTTCTTTTCTTTTCTTTTTTTCCAAGGAGTTTTATAGTTTTAATGGTTATATTCATAGCTGTTGTCCATTTTGAGTCATTTTTGTATATCAAGGGAGTTCAGTCAGGGACAATATCTTTAAATGATGTCTTTACTTGGAATATTTCATTTTTAAGTGTTTTTCATAGTTTTGTATATTTGTATATTTTATTTCCATTTCCTCTGAAGGTGAATGGCTTAACTGCTTTCTCTAACCTACCCATGAATTCACTTGGCATCCCTGTTTATACTGAAAATTACAATTTGGTGATCTCTGAGACCTTTCTGACTCTCTAAAGGCTTTCTTTGTAGACACTTTTCCATCTATACTTCTGTGAAATCTCGAATTTATGTTTAGCTTGGGTAGTATCATTATTTTCTTTTAAACTGCTTGTTTCTCTATTGATGGTAGTGATGCAGTTTATTGGGATATGGCAAGCATTCAGTGAATAACTAAATGAGCTGAAGAACTTAGATTCAGGCTATTTCAGTAAAGTTTGTTTGCTATTACATTTAGAATTCTTAGAGTTTAGAATCATATAAAATTACAAACATATACTAAATTTACCATAAGATATATTATGGACCTACTGAAATAATTTTGTAAGAAATAATTATGTAAAAAACGGTATTTAAAGCAAACCATCATCATTAGTAATTTTTTTAAAATAAAAAATATAGCTAGTAGTTAAACCTTAATTTGGCTGTTTCAAAATTTTTGCTGTTTCTAGCAATATTTGGGACATATTATTTAAATTATTGTTACCATGAAAATAAATTATACCAAGAATAAGGATAGAATTTGTTCAGTTTATATATTGTATTATCAAATATGACATATCTTGAATTTGAAGATATTTTTAATATGAGGGTTCTAATTTTATTTCAGTTCAGTCAATATTTAATGTGCTTTGTACTGAGCTGAATGCTTTCAGGATATAAACATGGGTAAGATATAAATTTGGCTGACAAAGGGTATTTCTCTAATCTTCTAAATAGGACTTTACCCATATGCTTCTTTTCTTTATTAGTTTTTGTATATCCCAAATTAGTTTAAGGAGTATTTCTTTTACACTAAACAGATGACTTTTTTGAAGGAGTTACTGGAAGTAAGTAGTAACCATGTTATATACAGAAATAGATCTTTTAAGACTCTTACTTGAATGATGTAATTTATATCTTTATAATGACAAAGCCACATTTTCCAACCTTTTTTTTTACAGTTTGTGTATATGTGAAAGAAATAATGGAATTGATGTGATGAGTCATGAAACTGATCTCTGAAGTTATCTTAACCCATGTTTTTACAAATGAGGAAAAAGCCTAAAACAGAGTTGCAAACTCAGAGGCCAGCAGAGCCTTAAGAGTGAAGAGGTCTCCATCTAACAGTGCAAAGCCCAGTGATAAATAACAGCTTTTAGTTGACCTGAGTTGTTTGGAGGTAGTAGGGACTGTGGAGACTGAGACTGAATTAAAATCCTTGCTTATCTAAAGAGAGAAGCTCCTCTGTTATACCCTGTTGTTCCTGTGAAGGGAATATGAGACTGGTTTTGCCCTACCTTTCTATCTTTTAAGAGAATCCAGAATTGTAAATATATACAAATGTATGTGTATATAAACAAATCAATGAAATCTTGCAGTTTTAATATTAGTAATTATTCTGTTTTTTACACGAACACTGGACCAAGCAAAACACTTTTTGTTTGGACAGATTTATTTTTGGATGAAGCAAAAAAAAAAAAAAAAAAAGTTAAGAGAAATTTGGTTAATTTTGTGGCCCTGCCTTACTCTTTTGGCCCTGGACACAGTATAAACATGATAGGATTAGATCTTCCATAAAATTTGTAGACCTCTTCCAAGCACAGTTTCTTTTTTCCTAAAGCCCTCTCAACCACTTTTCTCACTGGAACATTTCTTCTAATTTGAATTTTTAGTGGAGATGAAGGGAAATTATAGTGAGACTAATAGCACTAAAATATTTAACATAATTTACTATCAAATTTTGATTGCTATGCTTAGATAAAAAAAATACAGCAGTTCTATAGATGACAGCCAAACTTACTGAAATTGTGCATGTTTTAAAACCCTGCCTAAATTGCTGTAGTGAAGCTGTAAGTATCATCATTACTTTTATCTAGTATCACTGTGATACTAGAACTTGAGCAATTTTTAAATTATATTTTAGATTGTTAGAGACGGATAGTAAGTCTTTAAGATCTGTAAATGGGTCAAGAAGAAACAGTGGCTCCTCACTTGTATCAGGTTCATCAGCCTCTAGCAACCTCAGTCACCTTGAAGAAGATTCTTGGATTCTTTGGGGAAGAATTGTCAACGAATGGGAAGATGTGCGCAAAAAGAAGGAAAAGCAAGTTAAGGTATGCCTATTCTCTGTTGAAGTTCTTTCTATTAATCCCAAAGGGCATAAGGCGTGGATTAATAGAGTATTTAAAAAAGTCAGGTTCTAGTACTTGCCAGGTGCTATAATGAAAAGCTCTGCTTTATATGTTTCATTTATTTGTGCTCATGGAGTTTTGATTTGTAGATATCAGTTGTTATAGAGGTCTCCTAATTGTAGAAATATATATTTGAAATTATTTTGAAAATTAAATTCTCTCATTTTATAAGTTCAGAAATGAAGTTATGACATTCTACATCCTTGANCTAAAACAGCCCTTTGAAAGATGATAGTAACTGTTCTGTCATTCACAGTTCTGCAGATTATCCAGTTCTTTAGAGGCCCTACCTACTCTGAGTGAAATGACAAAGAATTTATCCATGGCATTGTAGTCCCCCTGACCAGAATGGGATATACTCAAGGGCCAAATCTTCATGTTGGTTGAAAGGTTCCCTAGTCTTATTGTAAAAGAAGCTTTGTGAATTATAAAATCAATAAAGTCTTCCACTCCATCCCAACATCCAATAGGTTGTCTTTGTATTTTGAGATAGGAAACTTAAATGATTCGTTACAAATTTTTTATTTTACTTTTTTACCTTTAGGAACTTGTTCATAAAGGGATACCCCACCACTTTAGAGCAATAGTTTGGCAACTTTTATGCAATGCACAAAGTATGCCAATTAAGGATCAGTATTCAGAACTCCTGAAAATGACCTCACCTTGTGAAAAATTGATCCGAAGGGATATTGCTAGAACTTACCCTGAACACAACTTTTTTAAGGAAAAAGATAGCCTTGGACAGGAGGTTTTATTTAATGTAATGAAGGTAAGTTCAGTTTACTCATTCTTTGAATTGAAATCAATTCTGATAAGGTTGAAATTAGTATGTTTCCCACAGTGAAGCCTGAACTCTCACTCCAGTAATCAGTTGCTTTGGCAATAAATTTGGCTTTAACATGATTTCTGCTTTAATTGTGATGCTACATTACTGTCTGATTTTGGGAACTTAAAAGAAAATTTATCACATTCCTTGATATGAGTTGGTCAAAATAAAATAACCTATAAATTACTATACCATAGAGAAAGCCTTTATGCAAATTTTTCTGTTTGCTTTGGCTAGTGTTGTTAAGAGCTCCTAGTCCTTACAAGTGTGTGTTACTGTATTTTTCTTCAGTATTGCCTTTTCCCTTCCCATAGTTCCTTTCCCTTCCAGATACCTCTGTGAAAATTGATTCTTATTAAACCATTTCAATTTGACCCGTGCTTTACCTTAACCCTCTCTAGTTTTATCTTTGTCAGATATACATTTTAAATGATTTTTAAGTTCTGTTAGTTTCCTGACTACAAATGCCTGTATTTTGTTGTCCTTAAGATCTGTCAGTTTCTAATTAGGAAATTGTCAAAAGAGAATTTTAAGTAATAAATCATTTACCTTTAAAATAGTAGGATAAAATGTACAGCAAGCAAGCAAGAGCTTTTCTAGAAAGTGTCTTGAATCCACCTTCTCACTGTTTTTAGGTTTTTAGAAAATATGGCTCTAATGTATCATATTAAAGTATTTTGAACATTTTTTACTTTTTAGGCATATTCCTTAGTGGATCGTGAGGTTGGTTACTGTCAAGGAAGTGCTTTTATAGTTGGATTGTTGCTTATGCAGGTAAGTTAGTACAAGTATTAAATGTCCAATTAAGTTCTTGATTAAATTTGGATTGGAGAACTTAAATATCACCCCTGTTTCTATTAAGTATAAGTGGATATTGGATATTTTTGCAAGGTATAACTTAATTAGGGATATTTATAATTTGCACTTTAAAATATTTAAAGTGTTAAAAATAATATACAATAATATCCCCCCCACTAAATGAATTTTGGTTTCTCAGTATCTACATTTGGGCCATAATGCTCTACTAAAGCCTGTATTTACTTTAAATCTTAATGTATATGTCAGTATGTATTGAGTAATCTTTCCCAGCCATGGAGCACATGATTAAAGTGTTGCTTTGAAAATCTTACTTATGTTGTACAGTGTGTTTGGAAATTTATTCAGGGATTTTGTTCACCACAAAGCTGAGGGCTTGTTATGCTTATCTTGTTAAAGGCTCTAAAATAGAGGTAGCTAGTCATTTTTATTGCCCCAGATATATAACATAGTTTTCCACTGGCAGTGACTTATTTTGGAGTCAGTTTGGGTGGGGTGTTTTCACAAGTCAGGGACAAGACAATCATAGCTTTGAAGTGAAATGGCACATAGTGTTATCACTTCAGCCTTGTTTAAATGTTTTTTGAAAGTCCCATCATACTCTATATTTAGTCTCAGACTAAAATATAGCCTGAAAAAAAAACATTGGCAATACCTTGGTTTGGGTCTTACTGGCTGATTTATGCATCTGAGTTCTGCACTGAGTTCTGTGAACTTGGACTATACTATTTAATGTTTCTGAGCCTTAATTAGGTAGTACTATATACTTTCAGATTCATTGTGAGGGTCATGAGATATGATATATGTAAAAGCCAGGCAGGGTGTTTCGCATATAACAGACATGTAATAAATGTCCAGTGACTTGGTAGATAAAAGCAGAGGAGGAATCTGAAACTGTTTCCTTGTGATTTGCTTCAATTTCTCAACAGTTCTGCCTGAGTTTTAAAGCTCTGTAACTGTGAAGCATATACATTATTCTTTTCTGAGTAGCAAAAATTTGATATCAGAGACACTGGCTTATAATAAAAATGATTGATTTTTACTTTGCTTGTAACAGAATTGCTCCCAGTTGTTGTTGCAGAGTATTTGTTCTTTTCTAGGTGACATTAGGCTATAAATAAAGAAACAAAGTTAAAAAATTAGATTTGTTAATGTTGAGATACAGCTGTTTTGCAAAATTGTGATTTTCCTTATTTTTAATTGGTTAGTATTGGTAAGCCTTTTACTGTTAAGCTCAAACATCCCTATTGTCAATCCTGAATTCTTTACAATTCCATTCCTTTTATGTTCATATCTGCTCCAAAATAACCTTTCACTAGTTATTTCTGTTGAGCATCTAAAGAGCAGTTTTTGTACTTCCTTGAGGTACCAATCTCAGAACAGCTGACCTAGCTCTTTAGGAATCCTGAAGGACCAGTACACTTTCCTATAAGACACTGTAAGCAATGCTGTTAGTAACATGCACTTTTCATTCAGTGATTGACTTACTTAATGATTATTGTCACTGGCAGCTAATATACTACCATAACAATAATTATTTAATAGGCCAGGGCCACAAGCTAGAAAGGTGGGGTGCAAACTAGATTCAAAAGCCCCTTCTTTGTTTTTAAAGTTTCTTTTCTTATACTCTATACTATATTGCCTCCCACACATTAGCTTAGAATCATAAGTCAAAGAGTCTGATTCAAAAATGTTTGCAAAGTTAGCTTATTTAGTACATGTATGTAGTACATGTTATGTTAAAATAGTTAAAAATGCTGGATATATGTTTTGTGTATCTTAGTAGTGCTATAAAATTAGGAAGATATTGTCCCCATTAGACCTTTGCAAAAGACATGGATTCTTATTAACTCAGTATTATAGAGAAAGTGTGTGGCAACACATTGCTCTAAAACTTCTGTGTAGGTTTCTTTCTAACAAAGGAATGACTGTAAAACAACCGGGTGATTATTCTTCATATTTGTATTTCACTCATTGTCACTCTTTCATTTGGTGACCATTGTTGCAGTCTTTTTGCAAAGGACCTAATGATTATATTTTTTCTATCTAATTTTGGTCTTTTTTTCAATCACTTCAACTTATTTTTTAAAATATCACCTATTTTTAAACCCTCCTCCAGTTCCTAAATCAATTTCAGTGGAGAGAGGGAGTGAAACTTTTTTTATATATGTTCAGAAGAAATTCTTATAAATCAAAGAATTGATTCATTCCTCCTGTGACTGGCATGAGGAGTATGGGGGAAATGTGGAAAGGGGAAGGTAGTGGAGGAGATGAGGTTAGAGAAGTATTTAGGGGTCAGGTCATGTAGGATCTTGTAAGGATTTTGGCTTTTAGTGAAGATATGGGAAGCCAGTAGAATGTTTTGTGGAGTGAAATGATCTCATACATGCTTTGAGAGGATCACTGGCAGCTCCATGCTGTACAGCGAATAGACTGTTGGGAAGGAGGTACAAAGAAAGCAGCTAATGACCAGTGAGGAGGCTCTTGCAGTTGTCCAGACAATGGATTACTCTCCTGATGGTGGTTTGGACTAGGTGTCTATGGTCAGAAGTGATTGATTCTCTAAATAATTTGAATGTAGAGCTGACAAGAGTTACTGATAAATTAGATGTGGAATAAAAGAGAGTGGAGTCAGTGATGACTCATATTTTTTGAGCAGAAGTTTGAGACAAGGAGTGATAGGGTAGGAAATCAGTAGTGTGGTTTGAGAAGTCTATTAGATACCCAAGTGGAGATGTTAAATGGGCAGTTGGAAATAGGAGACAGGAATTGGGAGAATGGTCCAGGCTGATAAAAGAAAGAGAATAGAGGCTATATAATGGGTTGATGCAGGTAGGATGTGGTGAGAGACAATTCTGTTCTAATTGCTTCTATTTTTTTTTTAATTTAAATGCCAAACAAAGTTATTAGCTTAGAATTGAGTGGGGAGGTGTTGGAAGCTTGAGGACAGAGAAGAAAGTTTAAAAAGAAGAAAGGTCTGGGAGAATGAAAGTGATTGAATTAGGAAAGTAAAGTATACCAGACAGCATTAAAGATCCACTGAATTAGTAGTTCTGAATTCAGAGTGAGACAAGCCAGCATGGGTAAGTGTTTTTTATTTTACCCAGTGACTTTCTGCTCCTGAGTGTAGTTGTAGAGTTAGATTTATCAAAGGGTGTAGTTTTGCATTTAGACTTATAACAGAGAGAGAAAGACAAAATAATTATGGATTTAAGTGAGTGAATAAATACACCAGGGTAAGCAGTAAAGTGAGCACAGGAGACAGTTGGGAATAGAAAAAAGGTAGTGTGATATAAATGCACAAAAGGCCTGTAAGATTAAATAATTGTACTATTTTATGTGTATTAGTCTTCATTGTAACCCTGTGAAATAAGTACTGTTACCAGTTTTATAGGTGATGAAACTTAGCAACAGAGAGGTTAAATAATTTGCTGAAGGTAACATAGCTATTAAGTGGAATTTGACCCTTAGGTGGTATGGTTCTAGAGCTTGAGCTAGTAACTGCCTGCCAGGATTGTTGGAGGAAAGGAAGTCAACAATTTGGTGGGCCAGGGAATAAAGCCTCACATAAAAATGAGTAGGGCTTGGTGGGGAGTGGGAGTGGGAGTGGGAGGTGGTGACCAGGAGGTTTGCAGATGCTGCAGAGAAGAGGAGTAATTGGTAGTATCTGCATACATGTGTTTGAGAGAAGGGGAGTCAATGTGATGGCAGTGAGGCCCATGGAGGGCACATACTTCTCTACCTCCTGACCTCTTAACAGTGCTATGGGAGAGAAAACAGCCACCTAAGCAGTGAGCCAATTTCATTAGAGGAAGAGGTAAAGAGATTGAAGGTACAGGTAGTGTTTTGTTGATGGCAGATTATGAGTTCCAGAAAGTGCTGTGGAAAAGGTTTATGGAAGGTTGGAAATGGGGTTAGATTAGGGCAGGGCAGCAGTAGAACCACATGGGATGAGAGTTCTGGGATATTGGGCTTCTTGTAGTGACTGACATAAATTAATGGGGCTGTAGGGCTTTGTAGGATTAATAAGGATCATCTCCAAAGCAGAACTGTGGCTCTGTGTGTTGGGAGGAAGGAAGGAAGTACAGGTTTTGCCAGGTGTAACTCTTGGCTCCTGTCCATGTTGTGTCAAAACCAGAAAAAATATATTGTTATTAGAAGCAGTCTTTGGCAAGGAGAATGCCTAGAGATCCTTTGAGGTTTCCTCCTTTGAAACACACTAGTATGATATAAGTGAATGAGCCTTAGAAAATTTTGAGAAAGATGACTTAATAATTTCGATGAATATTATTTGCCTAAATACTCTGAATATCTATCTGTGCAGCTCTTTACAAAACATTTACATTCATTGTCTTATTTGATAAAATTTTTTGGTGAGTTACACATAAAATGTGAAATTGGTACCTTTAAACCCCAATTACTCATTCTTTGAATACTTATTTTGTAAGTTCTTTTAACATTAACACCATATCATATCATATCATATCATATCATATCATATCATATCATATCATATCATATCATATCATATCATATCATGTCATATATCATATCTATATCTTTTCTGCTCAGAACCTTCAAAAAGCTTCCCTCACATAAGGTAAAAGTCCAAATCCTTACAGTAGCCTCTGAAACCCTGTGTAATTTGGTTCCCAGTATTGTTCTTCCATAACTTAACATTTTCTCAGTATCTACATTTGGGCCATAATGCTCTACTAAAGCCTGTATTTACTTTAAATCTTAATGTATATGTCAGTATGTATTGAGTAATCTTTCCCAGCCATGGAGCACATGATTAAAGTGTTGCTTTGAAAATCTTACTTATGTTGTACAGTGTGTTTAGAAATTTATTCAGGGATTTTGTTCACCACAAAGCTGAGGGCTTGTTATGCTTATCTTGTTAAAGGCTCTAAAATAGAGGTAGCTAGTCATTTTTATTGCCCCAGATATATAACATAGTTTTCCACTGGCAGTGACTTATTTTGGAGTCAGTTTGGGTGGGGTGTTTTCACAAGTCAGGGACAAGACAATCATAGCTTTGAAGTGAAATGGCACATAGTGTTATCACTTCAGCCTTGTTTAAATGTTTTTTGAAAGTCCCATCATACTCTATATTTAGTCTCAGACTAAAATATAGCCTGAAAAAAAAACATTGGCAATACCTTGGTTTGGGTCTTACTGGCTGATTTATGCATCTGAGTTCTGCACTGAGTTCTGTGAACTTGGACTATACTATTTAATGTTTCTGAGCCTTAATTAGGTAGTACTATATACTTTCAGATTCATTGTGAGGGTCATGAGATATGATATATGTAAAAGCCAGGCAGGGTGTTTCGCATATAACAGACATGTAATAAATGTCCAGTGACTTGGTAGATAAAAGCAGAGGAGGAATCTGAAACTGTTTCCTTGTGATTTGCTTCAATTTCTCAACAGTTCTGCCTGAGTTTTAAAGCTCTGTAACTGTGAAGCATATACATTATTCTTTTCTGAGTAGCAAAAATTTGATATCAGAGACACTGGCTTATAATAAAAATGATTGATTTTTACTTTGCTTGTAACAGAATTGCTCCCAGTTGTTGTTGCAGAGTATTTGTTCTTTTCTAGGTGACATTAGGCTATAAATAAAGAAACAAAGTTAAAAAATTAGATTTGTTAATGTTGAGATACAGCTGTTTTGCAAAATTGTGATTTTCCTTATTTTTAATTGGTTAGTATTGGTAAGCCTTTTACTGTTAAGCTCAAACATCCCTATTGTCAATCCTGAATTCTTTACAATTCCATTCCTTTTATGTTCATATCTGCTCCAAAATAACCTTTCACTAGTTATTTCTGTTGAGCATCTAAAGAGCAGTTTTTGTACTTCCTTGAGGTACCAATCTCAGAACAGCTGACCTAGCTCTTTAGGAATCCTGAAGGACCAGTACACTTTCCTATAAGACACTGTAAGCAATGCTGTTAGTAACATGCACTTTTCATTCAGTGATTGACTTACTTAATGATTATTGTCACTGGCAGCTAATATACTACCATAACAATAATTATTTAATAGGCCAGGGCCACAAGCTAGAAAGGTGGGGTGCAAACTAGATTCAAAAGCCCCTTCTTTGTTTTTAAAGTTTCTTTTCTTATACTCTATACTATATTGCCTCCCACACATTAGCTTAGAATCATAAGTCAAAGAGTCTGATTCAAAAATGTTTGCAAAGTTAGCTTATTTAGTACATGTATGTAGTACATGTTATGTTAAAATAGTTAAAAATGCTGGATATATGTTTTGTGTATCTTAGTAGTGCTATAAAATTAGGAAGATATTGTCCCCATTAGACCTTTGCAAAAGACATGGATTCTTATTAACTCAGTATTATAGAGAAAGTGTGTGGCAACACATTGCTCTAAAACTTCTGTGTAGGTTTCTTTCTAACAAAGGAATGACTGTAAAACAACCGGGTGATTATTCTTCATATTTGTATTTCACTCATTGTCACTCTTTCATTTGGTGACCATTGTTGCAGTCTTTTTGCAAAGGACCTAATGATTATATTTTTTCTATCTAATTTTGGTCTTTTTTTCAATCACTTCAACTTATTTTTTAAAATATCACCTATTTTTAAACCCTCCTCCAGTTCCTAAATCAATTTCAGTGGAGAGAGGGAGTGAAACTTTTTTTATATATGTTCAGAAGAAATTCTTATAAATCAAAGAATTGATTCATTCCTCCTGTGACTGGCATGAGGAGTATGGGGGAAATGTGGAAAGGGGAAGGTAGTGGAGGAGATGAGGTTAGAGAAGTATTTAGGGGTCAGGTCATGTAGGATCTTGTAAGGATTTTGGCTTTTAGTGAAGATATGGGAAGCCAGTAGAATGTTTTGTGGAGTGAAATGATCTCATACATGCTTTGAGAGGATCACTGGCAGCTCCATGCTGTACAGCGAATAGACTGTTGGGAAGGAGGTACAAAGAAAGCAGCTAATGACCAGTGAGGAGGCTCTTGCAGTTGTCCAGACAATGGATTACTCTCCTGATGGTGGTTTGGACTAGGTGTCTATGGTCAGAAGTGATTGATTCTCTAAATAATTTGAATGTAGAGCTGACAAGAGTTACTGATAAATTAGATGTGGAATAAAAGAGAGTGGAGTCAGTGATGACTCATATTTTTTGAGCAGAAGTTTGAGACAAGGAGTGATAGGGTAGGAAATCAGTAGTGTGGTTTGAGAAGTCTATTAGATACCCAAGTGGAGATGTTAAATGGGCAGTTGGAAATAGGAGACAGGAATTGGGAGAATGGTCCAGGCTGATAAAAGAAAGAGAATAGAGGCTATATAATGGGTTGATGCAGGTAGGATGTGGTGAGAGACAATTCTGTTCTAATTGCTTCTATTTTTTTTTTAATTTAAATGCCAAACAAAGTTATTAGCTTAGAATTGAGTGGGGAGGTGTTGGAAGCTTGAGGACAGAGAAGAAAGTTTAAAAAGAAGAAAGGTCTGGGAGAATGAAAGTGATTGAATTAGGAAAGTAAAGTATACCAGACAGCATTAAAGATCCACTGAATTAGTAGTTCTGAATTCAGAGTGAGACAAGCCAGCATGGGTAAGTGTTTTTTATTTTACCCAGTGACTTTCTGCTCCTGAGTGTAGTTGTAGAGTTAGATTTATCAAAGGGTGTAGTTTTGCATTTAGACTTATAACAGAGAGAGAAAGACAAAATAATTATGGATTTAAGTGAGTGAATAAATACACCAGGGTAAGCAGTAAAGTGAGCACAGGAGACAGTTGGGAATAGAAAAAAGGTAGTGTGATATAAATGCACAAAAGGCCTGTAAGATTAAATAATTGTACTATTTTATGTGTATTAGTCTTCATTGTAACCCTGTGAAATAAGTACTGTTACCAGTTTTATAGGTGATGAAACTTAGCAACAGAGAGGTTAAATAATTTGCTGAAGGTAACATAGCTATTAAGTGGAATTTGACCCTTAGGTGGTATGGTTCTAGAGCTTGAGCTAGTAACTGCCTGCCAGGATTGTTGGAGGAAAGGAAGTCAACAATTTGGTGGGCCAGGGAATAAAGCCTCACATAAAAATGAGTAGGGCTTGGTGGGGAGTGGGAGTGGGAGTGGGAGGTGGTGACCAGGAGGTTTGCAGATGCTGCAGAGAAGAGGAGTAATTGGTAGTATCTGCATACATGTGTTTGAGAGAAGGGGAGTCAATGTGATGGCAGTGAGGCCCATGGAGGGCACATACTTCTCTACCTCCTGACCTCTTAACAGTGCTATGGGAGAGAAAACAGCCACCTAAGCAGTGAGCCAATTTCATTAGAGGAAGAGGTAAAGAGATTGAAGGTACAGGTAGTGTTTTGTTGATGGCAGATTATGAGTTCCAGAAAGTGCTGTGGAAAAGGTTTATGGAAGGTTGGAAATGGGGTTAGATTAGGGCAGGGCAGCAGTAGAACCACATGGGATGAGAGTTCTGGGATATTGGGCTTCTTGTAGTGACTGACATAAATTAATGGGGCTGTAGGGCTTTGTAGGATTAATAAGGATCATCTCCAAAGCAGAACTGTGGCTCTGTGTGTTGGGAGGAAGGAAGGAAGTACAGGTTTTGCCAGGTGTAACTCTTGGCTCCTGTCCATGTTGTGTCAAAACCAGAAAAAATATATTGTTATTAGAAGCAGTCTTTGGCAAGGAGAATGCCTAGAGATCCTTTGAGGTTTCCTCCTTTGAAACACACTAGTATGATATAAGTGAATGAGCCTTAGAAAATTTTGAGAAAGATGACTTAATAATTTCGATGAATATTATTTGCCTAAATACTCTGAATATCTATCTGTGCAGCTCTTTACAAAACATTTACATTCATTGTCTTATTTGATAAAATTTTTTGGTGAGTTACACATAAAATGTGAAATTGGTACCTTTAAACCCCAATTACTCATTCTTTGAATACTTATTTTGTAAGTTCTTTTAACATTAACACCATATCATATCATATCATATCATATCATATCATATCATATCATATCATATCATATCATATCATATCATATCATGTCATATATCATATCTATATCTTTTCTGCTCAGAACCTTCAAAAAGCTTCCCTCACATAAGGTAAAAGTCCAAATCCTTACAGTAGCCTCTGAAACCCTGTGTAATTTGGTTCCCAGTATTGTTCTTCCATAACTTAACATCCCCTTGTAACATTGCTTCTAACTTAGTAGTCCCCTATTTGCTATTCCTTAAGAATGCCAGTCATGATTCCATTTCCAGGCATTTGTATTCTTCTACCAGGACTGTGCTTTCCTGAGTTGGTCTGTTGCTTTTTTTAGCATTCTGCTCAAATATTACCTCATCAAGTGGCTTTCCCTGATTTACCTACATAAATAGCAGTGTATCTCCCCAGCATTTTGTTACCCTACTTTATTTCCACAGCATTCATCACCAGCCTATATGTTAATTAATTAATTAATCCCATGTATTATTTATCTCCCACAGTTAGAAGCTTCAAGTTCTTTGAGGGTAGAGATTGTGTTTATTTTTTTCCTGGTATATACCCAGAGAGAACTATTAGCGCTAAATATTGGTTGAATTCATGAATTAGACAAGTGAGGCAGTTAGTCTCAGAGGTTGTAAGATTTGTCTAACTTCTTGTTCTCAGTGACAGAAGGGGAGAGTAGAACCTTCTGACACCTAGTCCATTGCTCTTAACATTGTATCACATGGCTACTGAAACGGCGATTATAGTTAGATGGGAACTTAGTTTAAATATAATTTAGCTTATTTGTGTGTCACAGACATTAACCTGTGTTGCTTTTTTTTCCTTCCTAATGTAGATGCCAGAAGAAGAAGCTTTCTGTGTGTTTGTTAAATTAATGCAAGATTATAGACTTCGTGAACTTTTTAAACCAAGTATGGCAGAATTGGGGCTTTGTATGTACCAGTTTGAATGCATGATACAGGTAAAAGTATAGTGTTAGCAAAAAGGCAGATTGCCTTTATATTTTTGATAACTTGGTTTGAGTGACAACTAAGCAAATTCCATGTTGAAACCATTAAAGCAACTGAAAACTATTAGTTTTCATCACATCATTTGTTCATTAACACACAATTTAGACTTCTCAGGTGCTCTCTGCAGGTAGATCACACTCTGGAAGTTGACTGCAGTTTTTGTATTAAAACCTTAAGCATTTGTGCCAAAGTGTCATAACCCCACTGCCTAAATGCATGAGCTTCCTGACTATGCCTTATTATGTCCTGTTGTTCCGTAGACTGTTGGCTTACAGAGGCCCATGACATGACACTAATGTCAGTCCATTTTCTTTGAGACTTGTTTGTTCTCTTTCAGTTCTCTTCTCTGCCTTTCCCTTTTTAATCTCACTTTTTTGCTAGCCTGTAATCTTTTTTTAAAATAAAATGTTTCTATCCTTCATGTAGTTTAAGACTGAGAGTGCAGTGTGAAGGTGAAGAGGAAGAGGGGAATCAAAATCAAATATTTGAAATATTTTACCTTAATTTATATATTTATATACATAAATAATTTGACTATACTGTCCTGTAATATGATGTAACACTGTCATTTACTTAAATTTCAATTAGATAAGCAGAATTTAAGAATATTGGTTAATGATTCAACTGGCATAAGAGCCATTTTTACAAGTTTCCTTTTCTCTGGCAGCCTTACCCACAGGAATTTTAAAATCCTCTGTGTGGTGGGAAGAAATGGATATGCAAATTTTTTTACATTTTAAAGAAAAAGACAAAGTAGGTCTTGAGATGATTCTTAATTAATTTTTTTCTGAAATAGCTTGTTTTTATTAACCTTAACTCTCTTGGTTTATTTTCAGTTAATGTGTCATTTATGTTTTGAATTGCTAGAGTTGCTGAAGCATCTGTATTTTGGTTGAGACAGTAGGAAGGTAAGGATAGGTGGTAAATGTAGATAGCACTTGAAAGAATTTCAATATGACATTTTCCTTTTTAACATTTTTTTGAAATATTAGAGTTTATAGAAAATATCTGACACCTATGTTCCCGCCAAGATTAAACATGAAATTTTATTTATTTGTTTTTATTTTCCTTTTTATTAATAAATCAAATGTTATGAATACGGCCAGTGTTCCAACTCCACATCCTTTATCCCTTCTTTCCTTCCCAGAAATATATCAATTACCTTTTCCCATGTGATACCTGATCTGATCTCTGTGTTTGGTATAAGCTAATTTAGTACATTGATCTGGTTTAAAATACTCAATTTCACTGTGTTTTAATTAATTCTTTTCTTCTCTTTAGGAGCACCTTCCAGAGCTCTTTGTACATTTTCAGTCTCAGAGTTTTCATACCTCAATGTATGCATCATCCTGGTTTCTGACTATCTTTCTTACAACTTTTCCATTACCAATTGCAACAAGGATATTTGATATCTTTATGTCTGAGGTAAGCTAATGGGCAGACTGAGCAAAAAAGTCATTGGGTTAATTAGAACAGGGCAGTGAGAAGAACAATGAAAGGAATCCCATGTTTTCCATGCTATATATGGATGTTTGTATGGATAATCTCATTTAAACCTATAACAACCCTGTCAAGTACTGTTAGTTTCCCCATTTGATAGATGAGGAATCTGAGACTTAGAGAAAAGTTAAGTAGCTTGTTTATAGAGACATAGCACATAGATGGTATAGTAACCAGCATTTAAATGTAGGCAGTTAAAATATGGAACCCACACTCTAATCATACCCCTGCATAACTTCCTGATTGATTTAGCGAGAATTAGTGAGAGGTAAAATTTGCTTTACAGTTAAGGTTGCAATGTATCTGTTACCCAAAGAACAAGAAGTAATGGGCATAATTAAGTTTCTTCTATTGCATAAACACATTGAAGGTAGTCCTTTTAATTGTCATTATCATGTAGTAGTGATCCTTTGTCTTCTATTTTGTATTTTGGGTAAAGAGGTAAAGATACATGATCAGTGGTAGAGATAGCAACTGGAAGTATTATAAATTATTATTTAGTTCATCTTAAATCCTATGTTAATTGTTATTAATTACATCTTGAGATCAATTTGTATTATCTAGTTAAATTAGTTTAGTTTGGAGCCAGAAAAAATTTGTGGACTGATCCATCCTAGTTCGCATTGCCAAATCTGTCCTTTCACTTACTTTTTTAAATAAAGTCTTGGAACAGAGCCATGCCATTTGTTGTGGTGGCATCTGTGTCTGTTTTTGAGCTACAGTGACAGCTGAATATTTGTGACAATGACCATATGGCTCACAGAGCCTTAAATATTTGCTATTGACTCTATACAGAAAATGCTTGCCACCCTCTAGTTTAGATCTCTAAATCTTTACCTTAGTATTCTTTTGAATGATTAGTTGTTGCTGATAGAAGAGTAAGACAAATTTGGCTTTGTATATTTGTTTCCTCAGGGTTTAGAAATAGTGTTTCGAGTAGGGTTAGCACTGCTTCAGATGAATCAGGCAGAACTGATGCAACTGGACATGGAAGGGATGTTACAGGTAAGTCATTCATGATTCCTTGAGTGTCTTTAGATTTTACTGTTGATTAGTTGTTAATAAACTCAATAGTTCTTGTTTTTCTTTTATTGTATCTTAGCACTTTCAGAAGGTCATTCCACATCAGTTTGATGGGGGTCCAGACAAATTAGTCCAGGCAGCTTACCAAGTCAAATATAACTCAAAAAAAATGAAAAAGTAAGTATTGTGTATTTTGGTTTTTAGTTACGGTGGTTTGTTGAAGCATGTAAGACATTATAAAGCAGTGTTAAGACATTCTAGTGATAGGCAGAGTTTTCCCCCTTAGTTTATAGAACTATAATATTCTATTTGGTGGTATCAGTTTCAATATAACATAAATTTAATGTTGGAATTTCATACTGCTCTTAATAGCTGTGCATGGGACCATTGCATATTACCTTTAAGTCTCCCCTTCCACATTCCATACTAACTAGAATTAGTAACCTGGTAAGTATATATATGTGAGTATGCTGTTATTTTAAAAACCACTTTTATGGTGTGGTGCCATTCACTGATACTCTTTTCCTCAGTGGACCCCAGAATATCACTTAAGTTCTAGATTAGCATAACCAACAATATTGGCTTGAGGTACAGATTGAGAGCTTAAGTTTTTGGGTTTTTTTTATTGTGTATTACTTTCTAATGAAATTTTTCTTCGCATGTATTTCATAAAAGCTCAAAATAAGCAATCTTGACTCATAAAGATTAATTTTTGAAATATAATAAAGGTATTAAGAAAGACAGCTCTTACTCTTCTAGCTTCCAATACTTAAGTACATCTTAGTCTGAGGTCATAGTTAGCATTCCTGACACTCGTTTCTGTGGTACAAGATGCTTTAAAATGATAGTACTGCTACATACTAGCAATTCTCAGTATCTTTGCTACTGCAACATGAAAATATATTGACATATATGACATAATCCGATGGATGTTCTAGAGAGTATACTAGAATATGAGCGAGAATTGTTACTAAAATTAGCTCTAATTTACAAAAATAAGCCAATTTATCAGCTTCAACAATTACTATTTAATAAATTGAGAAATCTCTTAATAACCAGTCATATAACACCATAATGTTGAGACATTATCAACCAGAAAGCTGTACTATTCTGTAATAGACAAGACCTGAAGGGGCCATGTCAATTCCCACTTGCCGGTAAAGCCACATTTAAATCATATAGCCAAAAAGAGAATTTATTTTACTTTAAAATACTTATGGAGAACAAGATAACTGATTCTCCTTTTAAATCTTATTTATCACAACATAATCCCATTTCTGAAATTTTAGTTATCCTATTTACTTACTATACTTCTGACCCTCTAGTTCTTCTACTTCCTTACTCATATCCCTATTCTGATGTCTAATAGCCTTCCTCTGATCTGAGTAAGTATACCTCCTCTGACATTTTGTACCTTATATATAGCCACATGTTCGAGAAAGTTGCATAGTTAGATTGCTGGCACTAAGTTGTGTTTATTTTGCCACTCCATGTATATATATATATATTTTTTGAAAGGGCATCTCTCATATTTATTGATCAAATGGTTGTTAACAACAATAAAATTCAGTATAGG